GCAAAAATCTGGGGATGTAAGATCCATTCTGTTGCCGATCCCATTAGTCACCTCTCACGACAAGCATAGTCGCCCTTAACGGCAAGCATGGGTTGCTGAAGATCTATTCTACCCCTGATCTTCACGGGTCAGCAGCTAAAGGGAGATCATCATACTAGGGACAATGGGGACTTACAATGCCTTTGCATCCTGCATGGACCCCGGCAGGATTTATATCATCCCTTCAGTCACTGGCGACAGTGTACTAGTTAAGCCAAAGATTAAAATGATGAACATAAAAATACTTCGAATGATGTGGAAATGAGAATTTACATGACTAAAAAGGTCCTTGACTGTTTTTACACAATGATATTTATCCCTTGTGATGGAAAAATCAATACAGTCAAGCAGAACATGCTTGACTGATTCTTTCATCACAAGGGATGCAAAACGGAGGATCCTCACCATTCACTAGATATTCATTGGTATATATGCTGTGGCCGATACGACATCGTCGCATAATGACTTGACTGACAGCCAAAGAAGGTATATCCGATAATTGGTTTAATTTCATGTAACTTATTCATACCTACTTGGATGTTCCACTTCTTTTGCATTAGATCACGAATGTAAGAACTAATCACGGGTTTATGGTCAGTGTATGGGATCATAAGTGGTGTCACAGATTTGTTGAGTGCTGCTTTTGCAGCAGCATCTTCCATTGTGTTACCAAAGATACCAGCATGGCTCGGTGACCATCAAAAGACGATGTCATATTGGCAAGCAGCAAGATCATTAAATAACTCAAGAATTTCAATTAAAAAATGGATGATTAGAGAACATATTTTTAATAGCCTGAAGGCACGAAAGTGAATCTGAAAAAATAATGAATTGTTTATATTTGGATTGTTTCTTAATATATTTTGGTGCTGTTAAAATTGCGTTTGCTTCTGCTGTGAATATTTAACTATTATCTGGTAGTCGTGATGATATTGTTCTGGATCCATTGACATTGGCACTAGCAACTGCGCCACCATCCTTGGATCCATCTGTAAATATAGATTTATAAGCGTCATTAGTGTTTTCTAATTGATCGTATGCTTGTTTATAAATTTGTGGATTTGTAGCGGATTTCTTAAGTCCAGTTAATTTGAGGTCTACGTTTGGCCTTGCCATTTGTCAAGGAGGCGATGAAAACAGTTGTATGGGAGCTTTATCCTGAAAGTTAATCTTAGCAGAAGAAACGGCAGATTTAATTCCTATTCCAAGTGATGGAACAAGAATGGAACAAGATGGAACAAATATCTTCGGAAAGAGGATTAAAAACGCAATTGAAAGCTGGATTTGACTGATTAGAATATAATTTAGTGATTTGTAGTAAAGAAAATTTCAGACAGTGTTGTTTAAGAGAAGGCTCATCCGCTTCAACAGACAGATTTTGAATAGGAGAAGTGTGAAAGGCTCCAAGGCAAAGGCTCAGTCCTTGGTGATGGGTAGTATCTATTTTTTGTAAATTACTTTTACATGCTCCACCATAGACGATGGAGCCGTAATCAAGTTTGTAACGGGTCAGTGATCTATACAAGTGCAAGAGTGTTGTTGAGAATTAGAAACTACTTTCAATAAATCGAATGCCTTCAGACATTTAGCTTTAAGGTATTTTATATGCGGTTAGAGTGTGAGTGAGTTAAGATTTAACGTCACATCGGCAGTATTTCAGCCATATCGTGATGACGAGAAGTACATTTATAATACATGTCACAGGAACAACAAAGTTCTCGTTCTGGGCTGATGTTTTATTTATGATGAGTCCTGCAATTATAACAAAGCGACATGCTATATGGCTTGGTGGTCCGGCATGGTGTGTCTTGGGTTCCTAACACATGCTGACCATGTAGTTGTTTTTTAACTACTATATTATTGATATTCATTTCAATAATTAAACAGTTATCTACTATATTATTGATATTCATTTCAATAATTAAACAGTTATCTACTATATTATTGATATTCATCTCAATAATAAAACAGTCATCTACTATATTATTGATATTCATTTCAATAATTAAACAGTTATCTACCATATTATTGATATTCATTTCAATAATTAAACAGTTATCTACCATATTATTGATATTCATCTCAACAATAAAACAGTCATCTACTATATTATTGATATTCATCTCAATAATAAAACAGTTATCTGGACTAATATAATTCACACAAGAATGAACCTATTTCAATAAAAAAAAGATTAAAAGAGCATTCACACAACCCATTCAACATACCTGCAATTATAACAAAGCGACATGCTATATGGCTTGGTGGTCCGGCATGGTGTGTGCTGGGTTCCTAACACATGCAGTCTATATAGAGGACAGTCATGTGACCTGCCTCTACATCATTTGCAGGGACTGCATGTGCCAGGGCCCAGGATGTACCTGACAGACCACAGTTAAGGTGGCCTGTTCAAGCCAATATTAGATATGGGAACAAGTTGGTGACATAATTAACATATTAGTAAAACTTAACCTGCGACACCTTCCCCCCTTCTGTAAAATGTCGTCCCCGACATTTCAAATACGAACAGCATCTGAAAATAAAAACCAACAAATTAGCACATAGATACAAAAAATGTCTGAACAACTTGAGAAAATCAGATAAAGATTTCAGCATCAGCCTGATGCTGCATGACCCAGTTGCCATCATTGAACCAGACAGGTGGTCTTCTTTCACGACTGGATCGCCGTGGAACAAATGGGCTTACATTTGGGTCAAGAGCCATATTCTGTTCCCGAGTTGTATTTCCAACATTGACCTCATTGGAAATCTGTGATGCAGTATTATCCGTCTCAGTGGAAGATGAAGTGATGGAAATATCATGGTTTCCATGACCACCCCCAACAGAGAAAACTACCATGTCCTCGCAATCACTGTCCTCCGTCGAGGAATGATCGGATTCAGGTATCTCACATTGACTTGGTTGACTTTGCCTAGGTTCCTGCTCATGTCGAACTGGAAGAGACATGTAAGGAAGCAACATATTTCTGTGCAAAGTTTTTGTGGGGCCTCGTCCATCTTCTCTTTTGACGATGTATACCGGGATGTCTCGGTTGGGCTGGTGAAGAACAACATAAGACTCACGAGACCAAAAATCTGCTAACTTATGTTTTCCCTTAAAACCTACATTTCTCACAAGAACCCTGTCACCTTCAGATAGAACAGCTTCCCTCACTCTACGGTCATATCTCTTCTTTTTTGGCTTTCCTTTCTGCAGATTCCCAAGAAGTAAATCAGTCAAAGGTTTCGCTATCCTGGCATAGTTCTCGACAAATCTACGGTAATAACCGGTGAAACCCAGAAACTTCTGTAGCTCTTTAATGTTCTTAGGAATTGGCCAATTTATCAGTGTTTCCACTTTCTCTGGATCTGTTTCTACACCCTGTGATGACACAATATGCCCTAGGTATTTAACCTTATTTCTGAAAAGCTCACACTTTGAAGGTTTCAACTTTAGACCATGTTCTCGCAACCTCTGAAAAACAGCCTCTACTCTCTCCAAATGTTGTTCAAACGTTTGTGAGAAAATAATGATGTCATCAATATAGATCAAGCATTCCTTAAGGTGTAAATCCCCCATACATCTTTCCATTAATCTCTGAAAAGTTGCTGGTGCATTTGTCAACCCAAATGGCATTCTATTACACTCATAGAAGCCGAGAGGACCTACAGAAAATGCTGTTTTTTCCTTATCCGGTTCTTTTAACTCTACTTGCCAGTAGCCAGAGCTCAAATCAAGCTTGGAGAACCACCGAGAACCAACAAGACAATCAAGAGTTTCATCTATCCTGGGTAAAGAATATGAATCTCTAATAGTCCTAGCATTAAGTTTTCTCATGTCAATGCATACTCTCAGACCGTTGTCCCTTTTGCGTACTAAGACAATGTTTGAAGAATAAGGGCTACTACTTTCACGATTGGCTCCACATTCGAGCATGTTTTTAAGATGTTGCCTTACTTCTTCAAATAAGGCTGGGGGTATCCTACGGTATGGCTCCTTAAATGGTTTATCATCTGTGAGGTTTATTTCATGTTGGACTGTTGTAGTATGCCCTAAATCTAATGAATGTTGAGACATAATGTCTGACCAATGACTAAGCATACCCTCGACCTTGTGTTTCTGTTCACATGACAGTGGACTGCCCTCTAAATCAATGGTAATGGGAGGATTTTCTTTAACAGTACCAGAAGAAAACTTGTCTAAGTTCAACGGTGAACAATCCATCACCTGAACCTCCTGCAAATTACACAACTTAGCTCTACCTGGGAGTGTAATAACCCTTGCGGATAAATTACAAACTTTGACATGAACTACAGTACTTTTGCCTTGAGCTCCTATTTCTACTACCCTTGGACAGATACCTAACCCTTGAGGTGAACTGCCATTATCTAACTGTTCGGTAACAGCGGTCATTCTGCCTGACTGGGTATGGACTATGCCTCTCAATGTAGCAACTGCCATGGGCTTAAGTGAAAAGGAATGCTTACTGGTAGACCTGACAATACCTACACTGGCATTCAAATATGCCAAGATTGCCTGCCAAGGTTCAGAGACAACATCCAGTGGACAATGGCGAAATAGTTTGAGAGCATTGGTACCGAGAATTACAGGAATTCTAGCATTAAACTCTGTATCCCCAACTACCAAGACTGGAATGTCATATGTTCCAGTATCAAATGCAACGCCAATAGGAACCTCAATATAACCTAAATATGGCAGCTTGTTACCAGTTGCACCACTCACTTCCAATTGAAACTCATCCAGACTGCGCAACTCAAGATCATTCATGTGCTCATGATAAAACGTTTCTGCAACGGTTGTTACCTGTGAACCTGTATCAAGCAAGACCAGACCCTGCCATTAACAAAGACATTAGCCTCTACACGTGGACCAACCATCCTAGAATACAAGTCATTGGAGCTGGAAATATCAGTGACGTCTGTTTGCTCCTCAACAGAAGTCAAGACTGGTTTAAAGCCCGGTTACTGACCATACCTCTACCACGACCCTGGCCACTACAACGTGAACTAGAATTTCCAGAGTTACTACCAGATTGAGTAACTTGTCCAACTTTGGACTCAAGTTTTGTTAATCTAGTTACAATCTCCCCAACATCCTTCTCCAATTTTGATGATTTATGTTGATTTGAACTTATCTGGTTTTTCTCTAAGTTCTCTAATCTCTTGATAATATCCTTCAAGTATTGAGATATATCTGCATCAACAACCTGAGAATGAACTTGAGGCTTCTTCTGTTTAGAGTCCTTAACCCTATTAGACCCAGTGAGCTCTTGTTCTGTTTCTCGAACAACACGAAGCAGAGAATCAAAATCTGTACAATCATCAAATTTGTGACGTGTGGCATCCTTAAGCCTGTCATTTTTTAAACCACTCCAAAACTTTGTCTTTAGAATGCAATCCCCGGATCCTTCATTTATGAAGTCGCCCTTCATCTTAACTTTCATCAATGTGTCCTCAAGCCTACAAGCCCACGTTGCCACGGACTCACTATCCTTCTGACAATCAGTGAAAAAATCCTGAAGAAGTGTATCAGCTGAACTAACGACACCATATATGCTATCCAGTTTAGCCAAGATTTCCTCAACTGAGGCAGATTCTCCAAGTAAGAGAACAACTTTTCCAGCCTCCCCTTTAAGAGATTTCCGAACAGCCTGAGTTAGGATGGAAGTGGGATAATCTCTATCTCTAAGCAAGCATTTGACCTCAAAAACCCAACTCTCGAAGGATGATTCCCCCTTAGCATCACTGCCAGAAAATGTTGAAATACGAGGTGGCTGCACATAATGTGTACTAGGTGAAGAAGAAAAGGAATGACTTGCCACCCGGTGAGGTGTTGAACTTGGTGGAAGCACACGGTAGCCAGATGTTTCCATAAACCTGATCATTTTCTGGAGATCCTCACGGCCAATGTGCCCCTCTTCCTCCTTCAAGCCTTCCCAGTCCTCTTTCCCACCATCAGCCATGGCTGCACTGGTAATCAACAAATAGAGTAATACAACAAAGACTTTCTCAAGCATTAGAAGTGAAAATATATCCATGAAGTTCAATTATAAATGCTGGACCAAGCTGCTGTCTGAAAACAAACAAGTCATTATTAATGACATCAACTTGAATCAGTCAATATAAAATGTGTCAGTGAGTATTATTGCAATACTTGTTAAGGGATATTGAGTGAAAATGAAGTGCAGATAAACCTTCCATACAGTCAAAGATTCATTCTTTCCATTTTTACTCACAGTAAACTTCTACCTGAATTTGTTTTAAACACCCAGATTATAGTACGCTAACCAAATAATCACACAAATGTATTCCAAAAACGGAATTCATAGTAAAAAAATAACAAAATCGAACAACAAACATTTCAAATGGCCATGCTAGGTTCATAATCAAGAATGAACATACACAAACACAATCTTCACTTTGCCGACTAGAACAATGTCACATGCTGACAAAATTATCTAGCAAAGGTAATGCAAAGTCACATGCTGACATCACAATGTCAAGTAAACACAATGAAAAGTATAAAGTCACTTGCACCTCAGCGAAGTCCGTGAACAGAAAGTTATTGTCCGGGCACAAAAAGAAAAAAACAACCAAAAGAACAACAACCAACTTAGGAACGCGAACGCGATAACGCGAGTGTACACATGATGCCGGCGATGTCAATCATAATTTCCCCATGGGGTACGGGCCCTACCACTTCCAACTGAATATCTCAGCACGAGAAAAGAATTGCTCCATCCATGCGGAGACTGCAGCTGCTGTGATTACAACCACAGGGATACGATGACGTCACGGCCACACAAGCCACAGGTCTTCATTCCTACATCAGCCCCACGTTGGGCGCCATAATGTCACAGGAACAACAAAGTTCTCGTTCTGGGCTGATGTTTTATTTATGATGAGTCCTGCAATTATAACAAAGCGACATGCTATATGGCTTGGTGGTCCGGCATGGTGTGTCTTGGGTTCCTAACACATGCTGACCATGTAGTTGTTTTTTAACTACTATATTATTGATATTCATTTCAATAATTAAACAGTTATCTACTATATTATTGATATTCATTTCAATAATTAAACAGTTATCTACTATATTATTGATATTCATCTCAATAATAAAACAGTCATCTACTATATTATTGATATTCATTTCAATAATTAAACAGTTATCTACCATATTATTGATATTCATTTCAATAATTAAACAGTTATCTACCATATTATTGATATTCATCTCAACAATAAAACAGTCATCTACTATATTATTGATATTCATCTCAATAATAAAACAGTTATCTGGACTAATATAATTCACACAAGAATGAACCTATTTCAATAAAAAAAAGATTAAAAGAGCATTCACACAACCCATTCAACATACCTGCAATTATAACAAAGCGACATGCTATATGGCTTGGTGGTCCGGCATGGTGTGTGCTGGGTTCCTAACACATGCAGTCTATATAGAGGACAGTCATGTGACCTGCCTCTACATCATTTGCAGGGACTGCATGTGCCAGGGCCCAGGATGTACCTGACAGACCACAGTTAAGGTGGCCTGTTCAAGCCAATATTAGATATGGGAACAAGTTGGTGACATAATTAACATATTAGTAAAACTAAACCTGCGACACACATATTTATACGAAATAAAAACCTGTCAACGAAGGACAGTAAAATAACTAGATGTATCACAGATTATATCTAAAACTAGTAGGGAGCCATAAAAATATAACATCATACGAAACAATACAAGATAAAAATGAGCTATAGATCGCCAGCCACTGAAGAGAGAACACCATGCTAGGGTCCATGGGCTGTGCGGTTAGAAAGTTAGATGGCTGTCAAAAATAAGTCCCAAGAACAGACTATTATTTTAATACTAAACAAAGTGACAGACAAAATACTGCCTTGTGGGACAACCTGATCATGATTATAATGGTCACACAGGATGGAACCCAGTCGGACTTGAAATTGTCTCTGTGCTAAAAACTGTGATGTAAAATGAGGTAAACTACCGCTCAAACCAAAATCGTGTTGATCCTTTAAAATGCCATGTTTCCAGGTAGTATCATATGCTTTCTCAAGATCAAAGAAAATTGATACTATGTGTTGGTTATTTACAATTGCATTTTTAACATAATTTGATGATGAAGAAATTTTGGCAAGAGTTTCTCCAAGTTTATTTACAATGTCAGATTTATCAACTATTTATTTGTCACCGTCTTTAAGATAGTGCACAGACGATTTGGAACCTTTACCTTTTATTTTTTTAACCATGTTCCACACCTTGAACATGAGTGTGTGTGAATTAATTTTGGAGACATAATTCCTCCATGATTGACGCTTATTATGTTTATAAGGACGTCGTGCCTTGGCACTAGTAATTTTAACATTATTCAAGTGATGTAGTGTAGGATGTTTACGGAAATATTTTTTCCGCTTTCTTCCTACCGGGACCGGGGCTTAAATACGTGCAATCCCGGTACGCTTTCTTGCTTGTTTGCATTCATTGGTAAACAAAACACCAGGGCTAGAGGGATGTCTACTCGAGCAATACAGACGCGGGTAGCTAATAGTGTCAAACAGAATTAAAATTAGGCTGGTTCCGCCCTTCCGCTCTTTGCAATTATCTGAAGACAGTTTGAACCCGGAGGTCAATAATGCCAGATTGGCCAATGAGCAACCGAATTCTGGCACCTGATTCTTGGCAGGTTTTTAATTTATACAAAATTAGATTGTTTCCATAGTATCTGTTTGGAACAGGAGGTCAGATATATTTTTTAAAAAATTGACCTGCACAGGGCTTGGCATGACCAGCCGATTGATAGAATCGGGCCCATCCTACCACCTATCCAGATGAAGTGAGGGTCAAAGTGGTGTGTTGGGCAAAGGAACACACGGAGGAAGAGCGATTGGCGCTGCCCAGCACTCACCACGTGGAATATGCTCTTCATGAGTGCCATTGATTTAAGTATATACATTTGAATCACAATTCACATTTAAAATATATAAAATTAAATAAATAAATGTTCTAAATTAGAATGCAGATATAAAAAGAGGTGCTTACATAAAGGAAGCTTTGGCTTATACATATTTAGAAGAATTCTTGATACAATTGCTTGAATACAAATATTTTTCATTAAATCAATTAACTGATCATTTTCGATGAGATTTGTAAAATGTGGAATACCAATAGTTGCTTTAGAAATAATTCTTCTTTTCAAATCAGAATACAAAAGACCACCAAGAAAGGCAAGAGGCAGGGAACCACATCTAAACATTGCTAAAACTCGGTGCTGGTCTCTAAAATTAATATTCAAAACATGAGGTTCAACCTCATTAAAAGATAGATTTAAATTATCTAAGTGTTCTTTATTTGTTGCCATTTACATTCCTGCGATCATCCCATAAATCATTTATTCCAGTTATAAACGTTGTGAAAGCGTTGTTGAAAAAAGCTATTTTGATTGTATTTTGCATATATTGAATATGAAATATTTTTGAATTGCAGCTGATTGCCTTTTTGTCTACTCTACTGGCCCAATATTTACAGTTATGTTTAGACCAATTAATAACCTTAGAGCAAATTCTGTCACATGACTGTCGTTCAAACTTTGTAAAAAGTCTAAATAAATTAGTGTGAACTTTATGAATAGGTGAAGCAAATCCCATATCACCATTAACATCACGATTGAAAGTGGTTTTATGTACACCCAGAAAATATACGACATGCTCTGTTTTCTCTGACATTAACTTGCATACATTTGTTTATACTCCACATTGATGATCCAGAAAACATGACTGGTTCAACCAGAGAACTTATATAACTTAACACATGCATGGTTAGACATACCTCCTGTCACTTTGAACTTCTTAAATAGCTATGATAAGGCGAGACTGGCAGAATTTTAGTGTTTCCTAACAGTCTTTCCTTTATCTAAGAAGTAATTGAACCATAAGCCAATATGTCTATAACGTTCTCCATTCTGTAATGAAACATCACCACAATTGAATTGAACGCGACAATGAGCGCGACATCAACAGCATACAACAACACAGATAACATTAGATCATCTATTTGAATACCACAATTGAGATTATTAATACATTCATCCAAATCATGAGTGTACACAGAAAATAAAGTAGGGGAGAATTTACAGCATTGTTTTACTCCTTGACAAACAGGAAAACGTTCAGTGAAATATTAATTTAATTTGCCAAAACAATTTGCACCACGATAAAGAGATTTCATGGCGTCCAGTATTTTACCTTTTACACCCACTTTATGCAGCTTGAACTGCAAATTATCTCTTGTTACGGTACCAAACGCCCTTTTATAAAAACAAAACTAACAAAAGTTGATTAATTAAAGTAGATATATTTCTCTCCAACCAACAAGACAGTCGAAAATTTGATATATCTGCATTTATTTTAAAAGGGATTGAAAAAATATATGTAATTAACCGGGCGATTAACCTCATTTAGATGGTTCCCCCTTGTCGCTGGATGTAAGTTATCACTCGGTGTCTGTCACAACAAGGATCAAGGATACGACTAAGGTGCTTCCATGCTTCTGCTAGTCTTTAAAGTTGTAACTATTTCGTCAGTTATATTTGAACGCAAAAGGTTGGATTATATGGACACATGACAACTATGCAAAATTCATGACTAGTAGAGATCCCTTGGCACCTGATAATTGAAGTTTAATTACCTAAATTATTTGTTTCTACTAAGACATTTATGATCTGGTCTTCTTTACGCATTGATAGAAAACAATGCATGTTTACAAGCAAACGATAAGCTTTTTGAAAATGGCGGTTGTCCTGATTTCAGTACAAGTATTATTTTTCTCTTATGCCTTTCTTACGTCATCATTTGTTAGATATGTGCATGCTTTGAATATCCTTTGATGTTTTACGTCCATCTGTTTTTACTCTAGTTTTTCAGATAAGCATTGTTTTCATCTGTTTTGTATGTCTCTAAATTGGAACTAGTTTCAGTCTCATGTGTGAATCTTGTTGAAAGTCGTTTGATCCGGAACGTTGGAATCCTTGGTATAAGAAGTAAATAAGACGAAAACACCTTGAATAGTATGGTAGATGTCACTTGTGAAAAAACATTTCTTATCTCATTGAAAACAACCCAGTGTATTAAGTCAACCAAAAGTATACCATTATCTTTCTTCTATGCCATTGTGTAATGTCAATACATTTTGCACATTTATCTCTCTCCACTTTCATATGATCATTAGAAATATAATCTTAGTTATATGAAATAAAATATCAATAGATATTGCCTGTCCCGCTGTTCATCTCTAATAGGGAATGAAAATGAATTAAGCTTCAATGGCCCCATGATCTAATTTAACGCCAGTACGATTTGGGAATTCTAAGAAAATAGAGGACTTAAGAGTTGTGTGCTATTCTAAACATTCACGGTAGGATAGATATGGTCACTGAACAGGATGAGATGTGTTTAGAATATAACGTGAATATATAGAAATAAGCATGAACATATTCAATCTCCAGTTGTTACGTAGTAAAATAAATATTAGTTTTAACTATTTGAGAATATTTGGTATTATTCAACCGAAAACATGTTCTGTATACTGTGCACAAACAGATGACTAGGGTGTTCTGATTAGATGACATAATCGAAGATTGATAGAAGGTCCAAAACGTCCAAGAAATCGAATGCAATTTAACATCATCAAACAGAACATTTTCCCATCTATCTCAACAACTTGTTTGTGAGAAAGTGTCTGTCTATGTTGAAAAATATTTGGCTGAAGTAAGTAGTTGTGTTTGTTTCTTTTGATAGTTTTGATCTTGAATCACTGAAAGTTACATTGAAAAACAGCAAATTGAGACAAAACGAATAATCTTGATGGTCAATTGGTTGATTAACCACTTCCCAAAAGTACAGACGCTGTGTTGTGTTTCAGCTGCTGCAGTGGTATATGCTCGCCAAGGAAGTAATGCAACCTTGTCCTGGAGACTACCCCAGCCTGCTGTCAGGGAGTTTACAGTGAGACGTTTTTCATCAGATATTCTGTTCCATGTGACCAACTACAACAAGGTGGACATCACTCGCACGTACAGGACAAGAGCAGAGTTTACAGGGAACATTGACTCGTCAGGGTCTGGCGTGTTCAGTTTCCTGCTGTATGATGTTGTGTGGAATTCTGACCGTGGTGTCTACAGATGTTACAGGGGTTCACCAGGATCTAGAGGGGATCAGATGTCTGACTGTGGACAGGTGCTTGATGTCATACGTAAGTATATGGCCACACTGATTGTACAATACTACGTGTAATAATGTGATGATATGTATTTGGAATCCATAAACTGATACGTTCTTTCAATCACATTTCCTTCAAACAGTTTTCATTTTACAGACAAAATAGGATTTACTCTGTGCATATAATTGTCTAACAGAATTTGGAAATATTGATAAGCGCAAGTTTTGAAAAACGAACAGATTAAATAAGGTACAGTAGTGCCAGTGAGTTGTTGAATATATATATATATATATATATATATATATATATATATATATATATATATATATACTCAACAACAAAAGTTCCTGTGACACCAATATTGTAGTGTATTTTTCAAACAAGTAAAGTTTGGTTTTCAATATTGTAGTACATGTATGGAATCAAGTCACAAAAAACGCAACTGCTACAGGAACGCATGCATTCCATGCAAAGGTTTACTTGTATGCAAGCCCCATGTACTTCACTAACCAAGAATGGGTATAAAAACATGTGTGTTAACGGGATTCAATATGCATTGTTTAGCATCATACTGACAACAACCACTCAGAAAACAACAAAATTACGCAATAATTCAATTTACGAGATGCCACGCCTGTCCGAAAATGAGCATCTGCGTGCAATAGGTATGCTTGAAGCAGGATCGACAATTTAACGTTCACAGAAACACCATTTGGTGTTTATGGCAACGTTGGCAACAGACGAATGCGTTCAGAGACCATCCTCGGAGTGGTAGGCCACGCGTAACCAATAATCGAAAAGACAACTGGATTCGAACAACACACCTACGAAATTGATTCCAGCCAGCAACAGTGACTGGAAGAATAATCCCTGGCCTTCGACGAATATCTTCACAAACCGTACGTCGCCGCCTCAGATGTGCAGGGATTGTCGCCAGAAGACCCGCCAGACGTCCAATTTTGACAGGAAACCACCGTCAAGCACGTCTGCAGTGGTGCAGGCAGCGTCTACGCTGGACATCCATGCAGTGGGGACAAGTTCTATTCACTGACGAGTCTCGTTTTCACCTCAGCCACAGCGATGGACGGATTCGAGTGAACGTTACGTCAGCCATTGTGTCATGGAAGAAGATCGGTTTGGGGGCGTTGTGGTATGGGGTGGGATTACAGCAAGACAGAGGACCCGTTTGATAGTGGTAGAGGGAAATCTCAATGGACAGCGCTACCGCGACGAGATCATCGGCCCTGTTGTTCTACTATTTTTGCGTCGTCATGGCCTAGGCATTACCTTTTAACATGACAACGACCGGCCTCATATTGCTCGACTTGTTCAGGATTCCTTTCAACAAACAACGTGAATTTCATCCCCTGGCCGGTTCGCTCCCCTGATCTCTCACCAATCGAGCACATGTGGGATGAGATGGATCAGCACCTTCGACGTCAACCACGTGTTCCATAGACACTCCAGCAACTTCGAAACATGCTCCAGCAGATGTGGACAGATATCCCACAGGACTTTGTGCGACGCCTGGTCCATTCCATGAGACAAAGATGTGTTGCTTGCATCGCCACCAGAGGTGAACACACACGCTATTGATGTGTAAATTGACATTTTAGCATGTTCATGTGTTTTTTTTAAAATCACGCATTTTCTGAATTCAGTATGGCAAATTAAACCATTTGAACGCTTACAGGAGTCTTTTATCTGTTGCAAACCGAAATTGTTTTAGATTTGGTAAAAAACATAACTGTGCATTAAATCTTTTTCAATGTCACAGGAACTTTTGTTGTTTAGTATATATAGAGTAGGCAGAGGACTAACAACAATTGCATACATCAGAAAGATTAACGTGAGTAGGTTAAACAATGACAATGTGAGTGTGTTGTGTGCACTGCATGTTTAGGTTGGTGGTAGTCGGTGCAGTACCCGTTTGGTTTCAGCGTTAACTCGCCACGCCGAAAACCCGGGTTCGATTCCCAACTTGGGTACAATGTATGTAGTCCCCCGCTCAACATTGCTTGAATATTGCTAAAAGCAGCCTAAAATATACTCACTCACTCACTCAAACTGTTGTCTGACTAGATGTTATCAATTAAGATAATTTCTTTGTTTGATACAAAGCAAAGGACACTATTCAATGATGATTTAAATATCAATATGACAAGAGATAATTGTCTAACGCAATAATTAAAATTAGAAAACAAGCTGGGCAATTCAATTTGTCCATCACTTGATTGTCTGGTTTGTTTACATGCCGCCGTCGCGTGGCATTAGTATGGATGTGCGGTGTCAGGCAACACACACATACTTTTTAATGCAAATCAAGTGAGTGGCGCATGTTACCGGTAGGGAAGGATATGCTTATCCTTTTCGCAAACACTTTCCCGGATCCACTCATACCATTTTCACCGCTGTGTTGCATTTTACGCCCACTGAAATATGCTTCTGTGGATAATCGAGACCATTGTTGGTACTTAGTATAAATATCTGGCTTCATCTGTACGCAAAACAAACAATATAGTCTTTGGGATGGGAAGGATCACCTGTTTTTGGTAACTGATTTACTAATTTTAAGTTTTGAACATCTAACCTCATTTTCTTATAAAGAAAAACATAAAATCACGATCAGAACATATTTCTATAAAATACATGACAAGGCGTTAATGTAAAATATGGAATTCACCATCACATATAACTCAGAAGCACAAGTCTATTGTTTCAGTTAGAGATGTAAAAGTGTATTGTCATAATTGCAAGTGTCTACTGGGAAAGGTGTTTCATATGTGAATGTGGCCAGTGCATGTCTGTACGATCTTGGAATTTAATAAATTGCATTTTTCACCAAAACATTGCTAACACTAGACTGTCATGTTATTGATGGTAGTACCATTGCCTGCACACACAGCATGTTTCCAATAACTAGGATACCTGTCAAATGCTCTCTTAGCTCATCAAAAACGTTGACAAGAAAATATGTTCATTATATGGCATTCGTTTTCAATTTGCTAGAATGCTTCTCAAAGAGATTAATAAAACTTATTGAAACGCAACAGTATCAGCTGTATGTTGTTGAACATTATTATTCCATGAGTACTAGTCTCTATCGCACAAATTCATGACGTGTGCCAGAAAATGTTTTTAAAAATCACTTTTAGGTGATTATCTCAATTTTGATTGATTGATTTATGTATTTATATTGCTGAAATACTTCCAAAACAGCATAAAAGGCATCTGTAGCAAATGTCGACCGAGGCTTTTTTTGGGTCATGTGACTTCACAACTTCCCCGATCTAATAAATTCACTTTTACAAATCATCGGTATTTCAAACGTAATGAAACTTTGTATTACTTCCTTTTGGACCACCATAACGAAACAAATAGACTTTCTTCAGAGGTTATACAAGTGTAACGAGGGACGTGAAAATGAATATGGTTAAGAAAAATTATGTTATTTTCATGAACGTAACAAGTGGAATCCAATGGAGGAATATGCGTGGCCGTCAAGACGATTCGTTACAAAGAGAGGTACTTTTCTAAGTATGCAGACACAGTATTGTCACATGGTGTGGTAACTGAAGTGACAGCATTTCAATAAGCGCTTTTTACAGTTTATCTAACATATTATACACAAAGAAATAAAAGACATTTAATATGGTATGATGTATTTGGTGCTCATTGTGAACTCGGCCATCAACGTAATAATTTTGTTTTATTATGTTCCATGACTTTATCTAAAGTGAGAAAAATTCAAGATGTCATAGAGAGAGCATTACATGTATAGATTTTATGGTTATAACCATTTGAAAGGCGTGTTTGATTTATGAAGCATGATCTGTGTCAGTATTTATGTTATATTTGATGTACCAGGTGATAGGTTACAAGGTAATGTGCAATATCTCGAATTTGTCAGGGTAATTTTTTTTTTTTCTGTGGTACATGTGAGTTACAGATCAGTGTGTGTTGATAAAAGCGATCAAATCATGTCCATGGTCATAAGTATTATCAGCTAATAGCATTGTCCACAGTACGACGCTGATCATATCATAAACATGTGGCACCCATCACAAACACATGAAAAGGAAGGTCAATTGTTCACCTGAAAAACACGGGAACATATGGTGCAAGTTAAAAAGGGAATTGCACACTCACATACACATACCAAACAATGTGTTTGGTTATACCGAATACAAAATTGGAAAGTGGGACTAACAGTTTTTACAGCTGTTGTCAAATGTGGGAGACATTCACAAGTACGGGTATCCAGGCAGACACTCTTTCCACTAGGCCACGGTGCCGGTCCGGTCCTTCATTGTACGACGTTTTAAGAGCAGATTTCGTATTGCCAAAATTATTTTACACCAAAATCAGGTATAATGTAACAGATGATTATTATGACAATGAAAATGGTTTGATGATATATATCACCCTTCCAAGTGTATGTATATTTTGTTGATAATGTGAGGGAAAGGTACACTATCTCTGTATCAATACTCTCTTGTATTGCATTCTATGTAAAAATATCTTGGGGTGGCAGATGTCGGGGCTAGGATTTATTTGTACCTTTATGGAAACACACTAATATGAACCATTTCCTTAACACATAAACATACAATTTCATAACACAACTAAATAGTTATTAGATTATGTAAAAAGGTTCAAGACATAAGACCCATGCACACAAACGTTAAGGGGTGGAGGCGGGTGTGTCGGGAGTGTATAAATACATTAAAGTTTAACATCTTATTAACAACCTTCACATTATCCACCCTGTAAGCCATTGTTAAGTTACATCCTGATGACAATTCAATGCAGTGCCTCGATGAAGTCTGGGTTAACATACACTGAGCGTACACAGGAAACTTCAATGGTCTGTGGTAAAGTGGATCTCCTCGCCATATTAACTCATATTAACTGACGTGGTTGTTGCATTATCAAGCCAATGCTTGCGATATGATGCAGTTATATTACTTGACCATTGAAATATGAAACATAGGATCAATCTAAACCTTGTCATACCGCTGGCATTGTTCATC